GGTCTCTAGTACCTTGTCCATAAAAAGAAGATTTAGGCTAGATGCTGTCAGCTTTCTTCTAATTCTGGAAATATTTTCCCCTGAGATTTGTCCCTTCACCTTCTATCTGTTGTCATTTAAACAGCAGACAAAAATGACAATAAAAATAAGTATATTGTTGGAGAAAAGTTTTTTTTTTTAATAAAACTGACCCCACCTAAAAATGGAATAAGCATTCTGAACTGCTTGCTAATCAGTGCTTAAGAAAGCTGCATCTAGCTATATTGACTGCAAGTGTTAGGAATGACATCTGGGCACCAGATGTATCTCCTCTAGAAGAGAAATGAAGGCTCTCACCAACCTGGTCACAATATTAAAGAAAAAGAAGACCCAAAAGTATCAGGTTAGCCTTTGTGTGGTTGGTGAGCGTGCTTTATACAAGATGGGATCCATGGATCTCAAAGTGTACCCGTCAGTCAAACTATTTTGAAATAATAGCAAAATTTTATTTGTGAGGCCAGCAGTTAGCGTAATGGCAATGTGGTTGAACTCCCATGAAGCTGACCGTGGTTCAAGTCCTGAACCTGGTGACTTAAATTCATGCTGGGCACGTGTGCGTGCGTGCCCAAGATTCTGAGAGGAGAATGGAGGAGAAGGGATTGCAGCATGGCCATACCCCCTGAGGGGTGATTTCTCGCTTTCTATCTCTCTGTCTCTCTCTGTCTTTCTGGCGAGTGCACGTGCCCTATAGCAAAAACCTATCTAAAAAAAAAAATTATTTGTATCTTACATTCATATTTCATGTGTCTCAAGAGTATGAGACACCAAAGATTAATACAGAAGCAGATAGAAGAGCCCAGTAGTCTTCTCTTAAGCCAGACATTAAACATTTTTAATTTGTAAAATACATTTGTTTTATAAATGCATATCATTTTCACTAACACACAGTAGGTTTAATGATACTATTTATTCTTTCAAATGAATTAATAAATATTATTTTAAAAGTTCAGTTTAAATTTCAAATGCGGTGAATATGAACAGATATAATACTCATAAACAAAAGCTCTTTATTATCTTCAGTAATTCCTGAGTGTTAAGCAGATCATGAGACCATGAAGACTGAGAACTGCTCTTTCTAGATGAATACTTCTTAAACTTTAACATGCACACAAGTCCCTTGGAAATCTGGTGAAAATGGAGATTCTGATTTGGGACGTCTTGGGTGGGACCTGAGAGTCTGCATGTCACCAGTGTCGTCGTTTTAGACTATGCTCTGAGAAGCAAGGGTCTAGACACAAACACCTAGGATTAGAATCTCTATCTTCTCCTTACTCAGGTTGGACCCAAGTCTGAATCTCTAGGACATCTTACTGCAATTAAAGAGTGATTCAAGCATCTCATACACTATGAAATTAAAGTTTTCTACATTCATTCACTTAACAAATTACTTCCCTTCTGTGCTGGGGGTGGTGGTGGGCTAGAAGTACATTTGGATGAATTAAATAAATAGACAGATCAGTTCTTAATCAAAAGGAAGCTCAGTAGCCCTGTGAGATGGTGAACTTCAAGTCAGATTTGCTCTACTTGAGTCTAGTCATTGAATTTCTGCCTTTCTCCCAATGACTAAACACCTGTTTTTAATTTTTACAAATTTTAAGAGCTATTTTAAGTTTATTGATTTATTTCTTCCATTCATGAGACAGAGAGAGAGAGAGAGAGAAGAAGAGAAAAATGAGACATTACCCCCAATAGAGTCTTGATGCTGTGATCCACCCCAGCATCAGCCAGCCCCTGGCTATAAGAACTCAGAATGGTCTCTGGATATGAACCTGGAACCCTCCCATGTTGGTCAGTCTCCCAGACCATCATGCTTTACCCCTCTGGCACTGTCCTGCACCAAGCATCAGTTTTTTAGATGGTAACTGGCCTTAGGGCCCCTTCCTTTTTTTTTTTTTTTTTTTTTTCGAGAGCGTTTTTGTCAACGGGCGGG